GCTAATTTGGGCTTGAAATTCCGAAAGTCGAATTTTTGAAGTTTCCGTTCCGATAGTGAGATTTTGATCTAAGGCTCGGAATGGAATTCCGAAAGTTGGAGTAGCTCCGTAGTGTTTAATGTGACGTGCTTGCAAAATTTCAGGTCATTCGGACGAGATTTGATAGACTTTTTGATCGAAAGCATGAGTTAAGGGTTCTTGGAGTTCTTAGGCTTGAATCCAATGTTAAATTGGTGATTTGATGTTGTTGTGAGCGTTCCGAAGTTTTGAACAAGTTTGAATGATGTCATGGGATGTGTTGGTACAATTGGTTTGAAGTCCCGAGGACTCGGGTGAGTTCCGGGATGTTTTTAGGCCGAAAATCATAGCTGTTGCAGGCCCAGAAGAGTTGCAGGCCTCGGAACCCACAAGTGCGGTCCGCACAAAATCCAGTGCGTCCGCGGTGGGGGCTGTGCAGCCGCACAAAATGCAGTGCGGTCCGCGGTGAGGAAAATTTCACTGGTCCTACTTCGGAAGCTCATATCTTTTGATCTACAAGGAATTTTGGGATGATTCAAAAACAAAAGTTGTAGCCCTTCGTGTCTAGTTTCCAGAAAAGTAAAGAAATCGCAATTTGGACATATGTAGAGAAAGTTATGGCCAAAATACTAAAGCCTGTCACTGCAATCAAAACCTGTGCGGCAGCAGTCGTTTTTGTGCGGACAACACTGGTTTTGTGCGGTCCGCAGTCGTTTTTGTGCGGCCCGAAGTGGTGGAAATCTGAGGGGTGCTCTATAAATAAGAGGTTTTGGGTTTTATTTCATAGTTTGACCTAGAGAGCTCGGATTTTGGCGATTTTTCGAAGGTTTTTCAAGAAATTCAACGGGGTAAGTGTTCTTAACTTAATTTTGGTTAGTTACTTGAATCTATTACAAGTTTTGGCATTAAATCTGTGAATTTAGTTGGAAAAGTTTAGAAAACCCTCTCGGATAGATTTGAGGATTTGAGGGTCGAAATGTTATGGGATTTGGATAATTTTGGTACGGTTAGACTCGTGAGAGTGCGAGGCTTCTGAAAACATAAATTTTACCCGATTCCGAGACGTGGGCCCGGTGGGGCATTTTGGTCATTTTACCTAATTTTGCGTATTAGCTTAGAATTTAATTGTGGAATCAATTACTTGAGGTGTTATTTACATTATGAAATTGAATTGAATAGATTGAGGCCATTTGGAGTCGAATACTCGTGGCAAGGACGTGATCTCGGGTTGATTTTGAGCCGGTTCGAGGCAAGTAGCTTGTCTAACCTTGTGTGAGGGACCTTTCCCCTTAGGATTGATGTTGTGGTAATTGAAATGCCTCGTACGTGAGATGACGAGCGCGTACTTGTGCTAATTGTTGGAAATCCGGTTTTTCATTAAAAATAGCCTTGAATTGTGTTCTTCCTTTTCTCACTTACACTGTTTGGAAACTAAACCTGCTGTAGCCTAGAGAAGCATGTCTACTTGACTAAATTGCTCTATTTGCCTTAACTGCCTTAATTGTATTACGTGAACCATGCTAGGTTAGGATTACCTGCTTCACTTTGATATGAAATTGACTGGATTGAATTCTTATTGTTGCTGCGTATTTACTTTGGGACTACGGGACGGTATCCCAGGAGCTCCCCTGCATGTTTACTTTGGGACTACGGAACGGTATTCCGGGAGATCCCCTTGCACTTTTACTTTGGGACTACGGGACGGTATCCCGGGAGCTCCCATGTATGTTTACTTTGGGACTACGAAATTGCATTCCGGGAGATCCCCCTGCACATTTATGAGTTAGACTACGGGACTGCACCCGGGAGATCCAGTGGATATGATATTTATATTTGGGGACTACAAGACGGTATCTTGGGAGATCCCCGGTTGTTATCTTGGAGCTGAGTTGTGTTCTCTTACTGTGTTTTACTTGCCTCTGTGATAGTTGTTGATGTCCTTTATATCTTGTGTTACTTATTTACACTGTTTATTTCACACTGTCAACCCTTATATTTTATTTAACCTCAGTAGGGCCCTGACCTTCCTCGTCACTACCCGACCGAGGTTAGGCTTGGCATTTACTGAGTACCGCTGTGGTGTACTCATGCCCCTTCTGCGCATGTTTTTCAAGTGCAGATCCAGGTACTATCGCTCAGTCTTATCATCCTTGAGGCGGGGCGTTTCTGTAGAGACTTCAAGGTATATCTGCCGCGTCCGCAGACCGAGGAGTCTCTTTCTATTCTTGCTGTTTAGTATTAGCCCTTCTGTATTTTCAGTTCTTGTTAGACATTCTGGAGTTAGAGCTGTGTAGTACTTCTTAGCTTGTGATTCATGGGTTTTCGGGCTTGGATTTATGTGTTGGTTTTGAGAGTTAAATATGGTGTTTGCCGAGCGGCACATATATACACTGGTTATTTCTTATTTCTGTTTTAAATTGTTTTACTTCCGCAAGTTTTTGGTTTCTTTTTCCACAATTTAGGCTTACCTAGTTGTAGAGACTAGGTGCCGTCACGATGGTTCACGGAGGGCGAACCGGGGTCGTGACAATTTCGGATTTTGGATTCTAGAAAATGCAATCCGAATCCGGTCCGAATTATATCGGATCGGATCGAATTTTAAAGTTTGGATCGGATCAGATTTTGGATCGTATTATTATGCCTCAAAGTTGCAAACCAATATGTATATTTCTTTGTAAAAGAGGCAATACATTAAGAAAAATTCATGTTTATGCAATTATGAGAGTACCATGGTGCCAATATAGCTAAATTCAGTAATTGTAAAGGTAATAGCTTGGAGGAAGATGTAAAGGAAGTACTGACTATCCAGAATTAAAGTGTAGTATTTATACATGCACTAATAATTGCGGATTTTGGATCGGATCGGATCGGATAAAAATATACCAATCCGAATCCGATCCGAAATCTGAAGTTTTAATAAACACAATCCGAAATCTGATCCAATCCGAAATTGAATGGATCGGTTCGGATTTCGGATATCCGATCCGAATGAACAACCCTATATGCGGGTGCTATATATGATTTTGACTGGATTAGACTTTTGATTTCTATTATGCCTTGTGTGGATTACATGCTTTCTATGATTCATGTTTAATAATTTGTATGACTACGTGAACCTCTTGAATCATGCTAGAGATCAAGTGTAGGATTTGATTTCCTATTTGAGCATGATACTTATTATTGTTTGGTGTAACCGCCTAATCTAAGTTGTAGTTGCACACTTCGTACATGCATACACCTTAACATGCTATTTTCCCCGGTCCATGAGCATGTAACTTGATATATGTTGTTCGTATACATATATTCTTGTATATGCTTTTTGTGAGATGGTCTAGTTTGGCAGCACGTGAGTTGTCCGTGCAGCATGTGGATAAGGATCCATCCCCCTAGGGTCGTCCTATCATGTTTCTCCTTGATACTGTACACGCGGATTATGGAAGCTGGTCAGTATTTGGACTTTGTGTATCTTCTTTATATGCAAACTCCTTGGTTGTACACATGATTTTTACCGCATATCTTCTCTATATGCTAGTTCCGGAATGTATTCGTGCATTTCAATACATATCCCCTCTATATGTTGAACTGTTAGTTGTTTACGACGATTGAGCATATCTTCTCGGCCTATCTTCTCTATGTACACTATTGGCTTTACTAGTGAGTATCATTGACCACTCTCGCCACTACCTTGCCGCGGTTAGTCATTATACTTACTGAGTATATGTGGTTATTTGTACTCATACTACATTCTGCACTTAATTGTGCATATTCAGGAGTTTGACCCAGTTGAGTATTGGGAGCTGTTGCCATTGCGGTTGAGACCCGAGGTAGAGTTGCATCCTGATTATAGTTCCTAGCGTCTCCTTTTATCTTTCATTACTGTTATTGTTTCAGACAATATACTGTATTAACAGACTTATAATCATATATTAGAGCTCATGACTTTGTGTTACCAGGTTCTGGAGATTTGCTGTATTGATTTGGTATTTATCTATAATTATTCGACTTTCAGATTTGTATTTGTTATTATTTATCTGAAATGTTTTATTATTGGCTTGCCTAGTAAGTAGGGTTAGATGCCATCACGGTCGGTGATGATTTTGAGTCGTGACAATAAATCTTGAATTTTAATAGCTAAGTTACATTTAATTATAGCTTGCTTGACAATGCGATTGCCAAATGCTGATCTAATCGATGAAATTTTGGTTCATAAAAGATTATTGGAGGAGATAATCATGTCTCACATAGACTCCAAACAGTTACATAACCTTCACACTGTGATAATTGAAGATGTTAAATATAAAAAAAATAATATCGTAAGAAATGACTTACAATATTTGGAATATATGCAAATTCATAAAAGAATATAACAATGTCAGTAAATATAACGTGAGAAAAAAGGCTGCATAATTCATGCAAGCTACTTTGAAGTAGAGTTTATTTGTATTTTTGCACTTGTATAGGTATATATTTAGGTGTTAAAAGATCTACTTAACTAACTAGAATTTTAGAAATTTGTATATAAGATTAGTATGAAATTTAGAGAACTTCCAATATTAAAGAATCATATTTTGTTTAAATTTAATTATTAAGCACTTAAAATGTAACGAGCCCAAATAAAATATTCATATAGCTAAATTAGCTGACTTCAAAATAATACAAATTGTTCAACCATCTTTTGTGATACTATTACAGTTTTTCTATCGGAAAGAATATCAAACTTTCTAGAAAATAAACTTTCGATATATTTTAGAGAAAAGACAACAAATATAAAAGGATTTACATTTTATACAAATATTGTAACTATTTTTGAACTCTAGTGTAGTTTAATTTTTAGTTGTCAATTAATTACTATATTTTACTAAACTACCAAGTAATGCACACTATACACAAATTTATCTTCAATTAACTAAATAATTTGACTGGATATATTTTTTTTTACCAGAAAAAAACGCTCAAAATAGAAACTGAGCCTATATGCCCAAAAAAAATAAAAATAAAAACTAGCTGCAGTCTCCTTCTGCAGGTTTGCATTAACATTCTGCCCTTCCCATCTTGTTCTTCAACCTAAAACCACCGTTCCTTAATCCTACCTGCTTCTCCACCAAATACTTCTACTCCATTTTCTCTCTTCTATTCACTTTTTCCACCGGCCACCGGAACAACAATCGGGCGTCTTAAACCCTAAACCTAACTCTCTCAAAACCCTAAAAAAAAGCATGGACTTCCAACAACCGCATCCGTATAGTAGTAGGCCACCACAGCAACAACCACCGTTACCGCCGCCGCCGTCCATGGCGGATCCCCACTATCATCAACAATGGCCGCCGGTCCCACCACCTGGTTCATGGTACTCGAACCAATTCCAATACCACCCACCCCCATCTCAGCATTCTCCCCCGTCTTCTCAGCCACAGCAGTGGGGTCCACCTCTTCCCCCTCCTCCTCCATTTCCTGGACCTCCTCATGGGCCTTATCATATTCAACAACAGGCACAGGCCCAGTATCCACCTCCTCTTCCCCCAAGGCCTCAATCCTTTCCTCATGGAAATCAGGTAATTAATGCAGCTGGCATTCTGCAAAATATACAGGGCATAAAACTTAAAGTCTGCTTATAATACTAGGCGGAAAATGGTGCATTTTGAATATTTTTGTATAGTAAGAACACTAAAATGAGGGATAAGTTCATTGGTTATGCAGTTACTGAAGCTAGACTAGGAAAAATGTTCATTATGGATTATGACGAGGCTTGCTTATTGTTCTATTCTAGTTATCTATTAGTCTAGGATGAGTTACAATGTATGTCAAATGCAAAACTTATTTGGTTTACTTAATCCGTGCGACTATTTTTTTTTTCCTTCGATTGTGGGATTTACAGCGGTTGTGAGACCAGTAATGTTATATGGGAGCTAGTATCGGGCTATAAGACCCGATAGATTCTCAAGATTAAGTGTATTAGAAATGCAAATGTTAAGATAGATGCGCAGTTTTACAATATTAGACAAAATAAAAATAATCACAGTTGACATAATCTACAAGTAGCACATATAGAGGACAAAATGAGAGGTTCTTTGATATAGTTTGAGCATGTTTAGGTTGATTTTCAAAACTACATTTGATCCATAGTGTCATAGGCTATGATGATTGAAGGTATGAAAAAGGGATGATGCAGCCTAAATCATGTGAAACTAAGTTGTCATACAAGACCTATTAATCTCTAGCTTCAGCAAAGAACATAACACACTAGGAGTAAATGATCCATTTGGATGATGCTAACCAGTTGAGATTAATGTCTAATCATGTGGATACTCAGGTCTGAAGATTCATATAGGCGATATTAAATTTTCAGGATTCTTTTTATTTTGGTTAGAGATTTGCGTGTCAGTAGAAAATGTAGAGAATCCATATTGGACATACTAGAATAAGGCCTCATTTGTTTTTTTTTAAGATTAAGACGTCTGAATCTGAATACACATCTGAATATCAAGATGTTTATTAAGATTAAGACATCTGAATCTGAATACACATCTGAATATATTAAGATGTGTATTAAGATCTGAATAGAAATAATTAAGACTGTTTGATTTTTAACATCTGAATGTATAAAATTTATCTTTATTTAAAAATTAATAAACATAAAATTCAAATGAAATACTAACTAATCTAATATTCTATCAATAAAATATATAATTTTTTAAAATATGATAGTTGTTGGTGGTGATGGCTAACGGGTGAATGTCGACTGGAGGCGGTGGTTGGTGGTAGTTTTGGTTGATGATGGTGGTTCATGCTAGTAGCTAGTAGTGATTGGTAGTGGTGGCGATTATGATTGAGGATGGTGGTGGTGGGTGGTGATAGTTAATAATGGCGGGTGGTAGTAATAGTTGTGACTCAGGAAGGTGGTGGGTGGGTGGTGGTAGGTTGTAAGATGGGCAGTACCGGTTGTGATTGTTGATGGTGATAGGGTGGTCAGTTGTGGTAGTTGAGGTGGATGAGTGTTGATTGTGGGTGAGAATGATGGTGGTCGGAGTGGTGGGGATAGTGGGTGGTGATGGTTGATAATGGTGGCGGCTATGATTGAGGATGGTGGTGGCGTGGTGGTGGTGGTGGTGGTGGCGGCGGCGGCGGCATGGTGGTAGTTGATAATGGTAGGCGGTGGCGGCAGTTAATAATGAATATGTGATAGCATCTTAATGAAATTAAGTTTCTGTTATAGATCTTAATCATACAGACCTATTCAGACCCATTAAGTGGTTGTGAAGCAAAAAAACAAACACACTTAATGATTAAGATCTGAATAATTAAGATTCAGACTTTAAAAACAAACGCACTTAATGTCTGAGATCTGAATGATTAAGATTCAGACCTCCATTAAGTGCAAACAAATGAGACCTAAGTTTGAATGGGGCAAAACTGGATATTGAGGATTCATATAACCAACTCCAAAAGTTTGGAATTGAGGTGTTGTAGTTGTTATTGTTGTTGTCGTAGTTACATGGTTTCCTTTCTGCTAATGGATTTTTTATGATATGCTTGACTTTTTCCAATTAAATATTCACACTTGCTTGCAGGACCGGGGCAATATGAACTGGGGTCAACAACAAAGTTGGGAAAACTCAGGTTTGGAAATATAGTAATAATTGGAGTCTATGCTTGTTTAGTAATTCAATATGCTTTGGGATCTAGTTTCCTGGAACCCATTTTCGGTTGAAAATTGTTTGGAATCGAGTGCTAGCTGTTTCTTCTTTCTTAGACACTATTTCTCAGAGTAGATGCCACTTCCTTTAAATTTATTCATGATGTTTAACTCTTCTAGTGCTTCTGCTTGTTGTTCCTTTTGGGGGGAACACAGACATGCTTTAGAAAATAATTGGATTTATTTGTTAGAATTCAAATGGTTAGAAAAGGTGTCATAATTTTGGTATATTCCAAGTTCTATATAGTTCTAAGTGTCTTTCATGTCATGTGGGACAATCGATGCTCTCTTCTTCTTGAGTCGAAAAGATAAAATCTAAACTGTTGTTGAGGAGGTTTGCTAAAGAAAACACTGATCTCTTAACAAGGTCATTAGGTCTTAGGGGCGCAAAAACTTACTTTTAAAAAGTCATTAGGTTAGAACCTCAAATATGAAAACCCCGTTCATCGTACAAGAAGAGATTTTTGTAGAATTTAATGGGTTGCTCTATCCAATTAGAACTCTAGGATTATCACTGATAAAAAAAACCCTGGGATTGTCTCCCCCTGCCCTCTATTTATTTTATTATTTTTTTGCTTTTATTTCTCTTTAGCACGGGCCATATTCTAACTTTGTGGAAACAGTATTTAGTTTTTACTGTGATGTACACTTGTATATTTCCTTCTATTTTTACCCATCATTGAGGACTCCTTCCTGCCCTTGGTAAATGAAAGTAGAGAAATTTTGCATGGCCTTTTCCTGTTCCCCCCTCTGGTACTTTTGTGCCCTAAAGATTACATCTACTATTAACTAGTAGCACCTAGCAATGAAGATTGGGCTGCAAAGGCCCGAGCATGGGCAGCTGCCAACGCTGCTACTGACTATCAGCACCAGCACTCGCAGTTTACACATGATAGCAGGCTGGAAGAGCAGAGTCATTACTATGGGCAATACACTCAATCTGCTGATCAACATTTCCAAGACATTCAACAACCATCAGTTCTGCCAGCAAGTAATCAACACTCTATGAATCCCGTGGCACCTCCTCAGAGGGCGTCGTTTGGCCATTCACAGGAGCCTGCCTTCTTCACCTCTGGGCAACCTACTTATGTTCCTGACATGCGTTTACCTTACACTGCTAGAGATGGAAGTTTCACCGGAGATTCAGTTGCTTCATTCCCTCAGCAAGGAAACTCATCCATAAGTCCATTAGTCCATCAGCAGGAGGTACCTTCTAGTTATTCTTCTATTGCAGGTAAACAATTTAGTTAATATATAATTTTGCATCTGAAGTTACTGTGCTTTTGGAATTGTTTCTGTACAGGGGTTTTTAGATAATTTTTTCTGCTTTATGTGGCGTCTAGTTACACTTTGGGAAGTTGCGTTTCCTTGAGCCTTTGAGGCATAAGTTCAGTAGTTTAATGAGGATATCTATAATCCTTTCACTAAAATTTCATGGTGCAATGGTTCCTTTTCTTATTTAAGGCTTCAGCACGAGGGTATTCACTTGAGACAATTGATGCTACTGTATCTTGATTTCATGTAATATTGGCTCCATCATGCCTGCATATCTTTCCGTTCTCCATCCTGCTAACTTGGTGTTTTGTTTTTCAGGAATACTCCTGTTTTGGATAAGTTGTTTTCCAAAGATTACAAAAAGAGGAACAGTTGAAAATTAGATACTATTTTGAAGTCCACTTGAGTTGATGTTAATCACGCTATTTATAAACTTTTAGGCAATCTCCTTGTTCTATTCAGCTAGAGTAGGCAGAAAGGATTTATATGATCTGCTTCTACTTGTCAATGAGAACTGCTTGATTGCACATTCCTTATGTGTGCCCCTCTGTTGATTTTTCTGCAGTTCTTGCTAATAATGTAACGACCTATTTAAATCCTACTTGGGATTGGCGGAAACTTGGTCTCTCCAATGATTATTTCCTCTTCCGTAATTTCTCTATTGAAATTAAATTGATGGAGGAGAGGATTCAATTTATTTGATTGTGGCGAACGATGAAGATTTAATTCTCATGTAGTGCATTAGTATCATCTAAGAAGAGATTACTGACACAGTCTAAAGGAAGTAAAAGCTGTAGGAAATATATCACTTATGAAGGAGTACAAATATCATGGGACGCATGAAAAATGCAAAATAGTATGGCAAAGTAACTGTTTGCAAGAATAGAAAACATCAGTTCAACTTGAAGATATAGTTGCTTAGAGAGTTTTACAGTTTCAAATTTTTAGTTCATTTGCACTCCATCTTTTTTGCAGGTTATCACTGTGTTGGTACCCATACCAATAAAACGCTGTATCTTACACCAAAAAGACCAAGTATTTCAAACATTGTAAAAAAATTGTAACTAATTTTTTTCATTTATCTTTCTTCTCTCCTTCAAAATGTCTCGGTAGGATCTGTAAGAGAAGTCAGTCTTGTATCCATAAAGTTTTTGGGTAGAGAGAAGGCCAAAATTGAGGGCCAGAGTCTCAAGCTGCATAAGTTTGATGCTGCTGACAGAGAGGTTCTTTTTGAAGGGTTCTTTCCCTATATAGGATAGTTTTACCTTCAACACATTTGATGCTTGTGCGTGTGCGGCTAAAGAGCGTTGCATTTGTCTGAACGAATGTGCAAGGGAAAGCCATTTATGTTTGTAACATAATTTTTAGTAATAATTAGGGGAAAGGTTACGGTTCCGTTAAAAAGTATACGTTATTATCTACTAACAATGTGTAGTTTATGCATGAGATATAAATCCTTACCACAGGGCGAGACTTCTCTTTCACTGGCTTAAAACTGCTGGACGCCTCTTGCCCGATGGAACCACAAATTTAATAGGAATAAGCAGGCCGGTTCTTCTAGCAATTTGTTTGTCATGTATTAACATATCATCGAATTGAGAATCCTACATTTCTTAGTTCAGGAAATTTTATTGTTATGAAGTCTTTGTGGTTGCAAATACGATGATAGAGTAAAATGTTCTGTTGATTTCCAAGTCTTCAGTTTCTGAATGCTCGTTCTAATGTCAGGTAAAGAAGAGGCTGGGAATCAAAATGAGCCGTTCTATGGTTCTTCACCTTTTGGCAACGCTACTCAGCAGCATCATGCACAACCAATGCCAACAGCACCCAATAAACCTGCAGTGATGGAAGAGCATCGTTATGTGATGGGTCCTGATCTTAGTGATCAGCCTTTGGACTTTGCACCTCATTTTAATCATGAGCATGACCGGCATTCCCAGCCCTATTTTGTTCGTGCTGATTCTGGAGGCTCTGTGGGGGTTGCAGATCCTGTTTCAACAATGCCTTCCAATTATGCATGGCCTTCTTCTGCTGCTCCTGGTGCTGCGTATCCTCCTCTTCCTCCATTACCTCCAATGGGGTCTCAGGTTTTATTTTAAACTCCAAGGTTAACTTAAATCCAATGATCTAGATGCCCTAATAGAGCTTCCTTACAGTCACTTTATACCGCAGGTTGATCCTACTGTCATTGGAGCTTCTCCAGTTGCTGAGCACACTGGACCATTCTTTGGTAGAGTACAGAGTTCAAGCTTCACCCCAACTGTCCCATCGGTTGGTGCACACTTTGGTGTAGGTGCAGGGGCTGCCCTGCATCCTCCAGCAGCTTTTCCAGCTGATGCATATGGGATTTCTGATCGCCCTAAGAAGGTGTGTATACTTGTTCGATGGGCGTTCATTTTGTAAACTACAGAGTCATGATTCATCTGTATGTCTGGCATTTTTTAGGCTGCTGTGCCGAACTGGCTTAGAGAGGAAATAATTAAGAAGAAAGCTGTCATCACAACTTCAGCTCCAGACCTTCAAAAGGAGGATTCTCAATCTATTGAAGATGAAGGTGTTGATAAATCTTATCGGAAAGGTGACCAGGCTGATAGCAAGAGCATCGATTCTTCAAGATCAACTGAGGAAGAGGATGATGATGAGGTCAACTATTTTTTCTTGATTACTCATTCGACAGAAGATGTTACTTTTTTGTTGAATTTGTTGTGTAAGAAGTCTGTTCACTTGGCGTAATATACCCTTCTGCTGGATTATACTGTTTCAACGAATTCATAGTTTTGAAGCTTTCCTGTTCTTTTTTTTTTCTTGAGATAATTTTCTTTTGAGTAGTTTCTTCTTTGACTATTACCTTAGACACATCATAAAAAGTGTGGGCTTATCTGAACTTTTACTTGTCCATGCAGGTTGAGGTAGAAGCAGCACGAACTGCAGCAATGAATCAGGAAATAAAGCGTGTCTTAACTGAAGTTCTTTTAAAGGTTACTTACGATTAGTGTATGATCGATTTCTTTACTTCATTTTTGCAGATGCATTAACTGGATGCTGTTTTACAGGTTACTGACGAACTATTTGATGAAATTGCAACAAGAGTTCTTAGCGAAGAGGATCTCACTGTTGATGGTTGGTGTCTTGCGTTTTCAAATCCTTCCCTCTTTAAATTTCTTCTTTTTCCATGTCTTTGCTCCCAGGTCATTTATTTTGGGACTAAGTTGGTCTTCTTTGTCTTTTAAGTTGAGCAACAAGCTGGTGTTTCCAGGCAGAAGGTATCAGCATCTGTTCAACCTGTTACAACTCCCAAGGCCTCTGCCAAGGTTCTGATACCACCCAAACTTAAGGATGCTCATTCAGTTGATGCCAGTGAGAAGTCTACTTCCAGTTCTCCTGGGGATCTTTTAGGCCTTGCTAGTTATGCATCAGATGATGAGGATGACAATGAAATCCAGAGTTCTGATAAGCAAAAGCCCAAAGAGCATGACAATGGACGATCTCATGAAGAATCTGAGAAGCATGATAGATCTCCTGTAAACCTGGAGAAAAATCCTCGCGAAATGAGTCCTAATGTTGAAACTGTTAGGAATGTTGCTGTCAGCTCTAAGTTGACGGATGACAGGACAACTAGATATTCTGCTCATGAAGATGCTGGAGGCTCCTTTAAGACTGAATCAGGAGTTCCGGAGGATAAGATGCTGGGTGAGAAGGAGGATGTGAAAACTGAAAATCCATCCGAGACTCTTGATCTCAAAAGGACTAAGGTAGATAACTCCAGAAGTGAAGACAAAAGAGATAAGTCAGATAAAAGTGGTAAACGTGAAGTTAGAAAGGGTTCTGGCACAAATGATAATGGTATTGACATTACAAGCTCGAAGGACAGAAAAACTGAGAAAGAAGAAGGAAACCGTAGGAACCATGAGGAAGGACATGTTAGAAAGGAGAAGGTGGACGATCTAGATGGTTCAAAAGATAGAGTGAAAGAGAAAAGTCGTAAGTCAGGGGAAAAAGCCAAGGAATCTGACTCAAGGAAAAGGCCCTCTCCTTCTAATGTCAAGGAAGAAAGAACGGAGACAGAAAGACACAGCAGAGCTGGTGTTACTACAGATAATGGAAGAAAAAGAGAGAGAACAAAGGATGAGAAAAGAGAAAAATCTAGACATAAAGAGGAAAGGGTCTCCAGCAGACGTAAGAGACATCGTTCATATTCTATTGATAGCAGGGGTAAACAGAGCAAGGACAGCCGTGCCAATGATTCCAGTGATGAATCTTTAGATGATTCTAGAAGGTTTTTATATTTTTTATTTTTTTTATTTTCTGCTACTCGGTGCAATGCATTGATCCTCATGTAATTGCTCATCTTTTCTTGTGGATTGCAGGAAGGTGCATGCAAATAGACACCGATCACCATCGCCAGTCAGGTCAAGGAAAAGGTAATTTTGAAGGCGCCTGAATGCTCTGATTATTGTTACCATCAACTCTTACAACACAAAATTTCCTAATAAAAAGATAAACAAATCTTTGTACCCATTTAACTCAAAAATCTCAAGATCAATGTTCTATTCACCAATTATTTCACGTTTAGTTGGTCACGATCTTTCATTTTCCTTGCACAATGATCTCTTGGTGTTTTTTGGGTTTAGGAATTAACTGTTCACTATGTTGGGTAGTCCCAGAGATGTTGGCCCCTTTCTCTTTTTTCATTATTTTTCTTTGATCTTTAACTCTATTTTTTACTATTCGTATTGCATGCAAACATTTATGACTCCTCATTGTCTCGCCTTTTGATGAAGTAATAAAATTCATTAATGGCATCAAGAAGATGCATGATGATGAGTACAAAAGATGAGTGTTAGCTCCAGAATAGGCTAACTATAGTTCCAGGGAGCTAGCAAAATCCAAAAAAAGCTCGGGGGAATTTACAGGGGAGAGTCTGCACCAACTAAAGAGTAACAAAAAACATTTAGCCTTGAGTGCATCTCTGGGACTACCCAACCTTCAGATAAGGTATATGAATCTCGCCTTACGTTCAATAAGGTACATGAGTCTTAAGAGATATTGTGGAACTAACATCAGGTAAAGGTCATACAGGTTACTTGCTTCTCTGTGAAAGAATTAATCATACTTCCAACAAGAGAGTCAATTATTTGTGGAAATGGCAAAGAAATTTTCTTTAGGTTGGTCTTTGGTCTAAATAAATTAGTATTCTGAGAAGAAACTTATCTGAAGCTAGTAAAAACCTTACTAAAGATCGATTGAAGTATAAAACTAGTCCAGTGAATAATTTGATGAAGAACGCCCATGGAGGCATGGACTGATGAAAAAACGTACGCCAATGGACAAAGAACACCCATGGAGGCATGGACTGATGAGAAAGCGTACTCCAATGGACAAGACTGTGCAGTTGAGTCAATAATAATTAAATGTGCTTAGGAGGCTGTATAACAAAGGCATGATGAGGATTTAATCATTGCAGGTACTTATGGGTTAAAACAGCTAGACATACAGCAGCAGAGTAATCCTGGTTTCTGTCTCGTTGTGCATTTTAATAGACTTATAATGACTTAGAGGGATAATGTAAGAAGAAACCAATGAATAATGTGTCACTGACTCATTGCTGCTGACTCCTAAGATTGAATCCTTTAGTTTTCATCATGGTGCTATTATCTGGTCGGATAGCTTTGCTAACATTCAATCTAGCATCAATAATTTGGAAGGCATATCCACATATCTTTGCAAGTGTTGTACTTGCCATCTGTTTGATTTAACATCTAAATGTTTTAAAAAGAAAATGTGGAGGCTCATTAGGTTATTCACCCAGTTAAAGATGTGCTGGCTAAAGATGTGCTGGCCATGTTGGACCCTTGCTGTTGTTTATATCAATTAAAACTATTAACAGTACTAATACCATATATTCTAGTGGTCAACAAATTAATTATTCAGGTTTAGATTGCTTACTCTGTTGTCTGCTGCTTTTTGCTAGAGTCATTGCTTACACTGTAGAGAATGGTCTCTATGGACATGATTATTAGCCGTTTAGATGCTATGCCTTTTTAAAAAAAAGGCTTCATGGAGAACTCCTATGCTAATACTTCCAATATAGATCCATGGTTTAGAGTAATTGCTTGTTGTTCCAAATTCTTGTGCTCATGTCTTCTCTGAATCTTTTTGTTTAAGGTGGTTTCTAAAAGGGTGATTTATTATGTCAAGAAAATTTGTAAGAGTAGGACTAATGTCTGTTGAATACTGTTCATGTGGATATTAGCCCTTGAAAGAATTAGTCAAATCTCTTAGAAGAGACGACTTTCTGTTAAATTCTTTGAGGTTTTCTTTTACACATTGAATATCTAGGTAAGTTCTGTTTTGATGTTTCCGTAGTGAGTACAGGTTTCCTCCCACGGGACTACTTAGCTAAAAGTTCTGATTCATCCTCGTATGCATATTGCATAAAGGATTATGCAATTTTCTTTTCAAATGATAATTTTTGCACTACATTGGTAGATGCCAGAGTTAAATTTTTTTAAAAGGGTACAAATTCCATACTTATAGTTGTTTTAAAATTGTTTACAAAAAGAGTAAATTCATCCTTCATTAAGAGGCTTTTTAAGTGCAAGTGAAATTCCCCATTACAGGGATTTCTCCTATATCGATAAAATTATTCACCTTATCAAAAACAAGTGTAAGTGGTATTCCTCAAAATTATCGGAGTCTTGAATCTTGTAATACCTGGATCAATCTAAAAGTCTCTTTGTGGATAAGTGGCTTCTCTTGAAGTTTATATCTTAGCCAACTTTATATAAGGTACCATAAATTATAGAGGGAATCATTTAATGGTAAAGAGGCTCATTAAAATACTTTCTCAAAAAAAAAATTAAGGAAAAGAGAGGCTTATTTAAAGTTGCTATCCGTTAAATGACTTTGATGTTTTATTGTATTGTTCGTCTCTAAAAACATTATTATAGGTTGTTTCAGGATCTAGGACTTTTAACTTGTGGATAAATTTTGATTTGAAAATCATAGTGTTGCTTGATAAAGTGACTAGTTTATTGTTTTGATAAGCTCTTCTAAAGCAGCTATTGTTATGGGATTTTGGATTAGAAAATAGTATCATTAAGAGGGGAAAACTACAAACTGGCACCATTGTTTGAATTGGTGAAATTTATGTATTCTGAGTCTTTTTCAAGATTGAGGTAATTCATCCTCAGAATTCTTCGGCAATGTCTTTATCTATGTTTCAACTTGAAAATAATGCAACAATACAGTGGTCAAATTCTTCTAGAGCCTGAATGTATAAACGGCTGAGAATTTGTATCCAAAAATTCTCTTTTTGTTGCCACTTACTGGTTTAGCCTGTAATCTTTTTATTTTTAGACATGTTTCGCGGTCTCCTCATAGCAAGCATTCTCAGCGCAGGCATTCTCCGTACCCTGCCAGTGAAAGGATCAGGTATCTTGTTGGGTGTTCTTAAATTTATCGTCTTGATATTTTTCAGTCTTAACCATCCAATCAGCATAACTAAGAACATACAGGTGAAACAATCTAATAATGCACTTTAGAAATCTTATCTTGTTTATAAGTTGGTTCATGTAATGACAGGGGAAGGAGGTCAAGATCAAGATCAAGATCTCCTGTTCGTAGGAAAAGATAAGCAAAGGAGTACCAGAAGGAAGTTAAGATAAGAGTTATGAAGGCCAATAAGGCATGGCCTTTGGCTGTTAATTAGAGAGTGGATGCAACAGTTGACCTGTTTGAAATCCTCTGTTACTGCCTTTGCCTGTTAAGTATGACAATGGATATGCCAGTTGAGCTATTAAAATCCTGTGTCACAGGTTTTGCCGGCCAGGAGGAAAGCTGCGATATCCTCATGCAGAGGATTAGTGATATGAGTGGTTCATGGTGCCTCTATGTTAGATCAGCTTGCTGTTGGCATTTTCGACAGTTATATTTGTTATAATTTTGAAGTTGATAATTTGTTTAGCTGTAAATTTGTATTTGGAGGTAGGTGTCTAAAGAGGAGAACCGCTACTTGAACAAACGATGAGCTTTTTCCATTTTATAATATTCCTTGGAAGCTTCATTCAGTAGTAGCAGATGTCATTGTTATGCAAGCTTATATTGTTGCGAGGGGAATAAGAGAATATTTGGCATGATGTACCCAAAGAAGAGCATTGTGTTTGGGGAATCTACAGAGAAATGAAGGACGTATATGCTAATGTGGTAGACGTGCTTATGAAACATGAAAGAGTATCAGGTCATGCATGATTTAAGATTTGATAGAGAAGTAGCAGTGATTGCTTCCCAGGATGGGTGATAAATAACCCGGTAGATGCCTATCAGAAAAGAAAAACTTGGTAAATTGTGGATCAGCTAAGAAATAGTACTTGTATTTTAAGAATTGGTCTTTTATTCTTGATTTCTCAGGGAAAAGAAAGAATTGTTTACCTTGAAAATACGAGTAACAATTAAACTTGTTTATGATTTTAAAGATACGTGATTTAATTCAATATTAATTAATAACCAAGAAGTATAACGTGCGAATGATTGACGTAATTAAAATCAAACCAGTTTACAAGCCAGTCTCGGCCTCGAGTTAAGGCTGTTTCGAGGTAGGTCAAGAACAATAAAGTAAGAATAACAGAGCTAAAGGACAATTGTGATGAAATATGAACAAGAAAGGAAGAGAGTATATTCTTTGCCAATGATTGATGATGGTTACAAATGATTGGGGTCCCCTTTATATAATGGGAGAAACCTAAATAAGGTACATTTCTATTTACAGTAAGGAATCTTATCGGGACAACTGTCTAACCCCCTAGTACGGATTCATACTAACTTGTACAAATCTATTCTGGAATTTACACCATGATCTTGGGGACGTGGCGGGAATCTTGCTCTTTCTGTTACAAACTCAGAACGGCATCATCTCGGGGTAGGTCGCACTCGGCTTCGGCACTCATTGCGTACTTCGATCTTCGAGCCTTATATTCTATCGTCGGCCTCGAGCTTGATCCATCGCGCTCGAACTTGACCATCCTGAACTCGGGCTTGAGGCGACCCCTCCAGCCCGTGAAATCGGGCATACCTGATTTCGACCGTGTACAGATAGTCCCTGTGTTTCTTAGAGTAAGATGATAAGAAACGATTTGATCCTCGATGCTCCAATACCCCGATCATGATGTCAATCTCGTGACGTCAGCGACTGAAGTGATTGAAACGTCGCTTCCATATAGTTCCCAAGACCATTAATTGAAGGCGACTGATGGTCGGCCATTAGCTTCCCCAAACCGTTAAGGCGACCGCTATAAATAAGTCAATTTCACAACATTTACAATCTTCACTTCTCAAATCTTTCTCAAAACCTCTCTAGTTTCTTCATCTTCTCCGAGTTTATCCTTTCCTGAATTTGTTCTTGCTAGAGCATCATCTCCTTCTCTTCTTTCGAATTTCTCAACAACATCAATGGCTAAAACATCTAAAATCGTTCCTCAGAAAGAAAAAGCCTCCTCATCACGTCCAGCTGGTGGTAGAACGTGGTGCCACCTCGTATTGAGGAGTGCATTCCCGGGCCATGCGAGCTATCTTCCGATTTCATGGTCGATAAGCCTGCGTTGGTCCCAGGTCGATGTGAACCCATATCTCGATACCTCTGCTTGATAACTAAAGACGAACTCGAGCAGGTGAAAAATGACTATGGTTGGGAGAACAAAGAAGTGATGATCCCTTCCCCAGAGGAGGATATCACTACTCATGTGAAAGGATACCTAAGTGTGTATACTTATCCTTTCACACTGGGTCCCGCGGATCCAGTAACGGGTCCTGTGGATCCAGTCATCCTCGACTCTGTCACCAGTATCAGGTGACCTTTGGCCAGATCTACCCTTCTTTCTGGCGTATCGTCAAATTACTCAGGTTCTTCTCGGGCAAGGTCGAAGGTGGGTTGCCTTTTACACTTAACCATTTGATCAGGCTATATAGCCCTCGCCTCTATCTAGGCGGTTTGATAAAGCTCCAGTGTCGATCCTCGAAGTCGCTATTTTCTAGCATCGATGAGGGCAAAGACCGAGGGTGGATGAGCCGGTTTGTCCGAATCAAGACTTCAGATGTGATCCCTGCCGAGAGGATGCCATTCCCCGATGAGTGGAACATGAAACGTAAGTACAAGCTTATCGATAATATTCTGCTTTCATTATTCTTCCTCGATTTAACTCCCTTTTGATGATGCAGCTGCCCCTTGGTTCCCTGGTGCGATTTCGGACCTCGCTGGTTGGGTCTGACAACTGGCCTCCACCTATTCATACGCAGAACGCAGTTGGCGTGATTTGGCCAAGGGTCGGTAGGAAGCTACAAACCATGGTGAGTTCCATTGTTCATATATTGGTATTTCTCAGTGAAATACTAACTTTGCTCTTATGCAGGCCTCGGAGACGCCGTTGCTGTGCGGCCGCCCCCACCCGGTGAAGAAGAAATCCTAAAGCCAACCAAGGAGAAGAAAAGGAAAAGGGCTTCGCTTGCGAGTTCCCGAAGCCCAAGAAAAGTAAGGCTCGAAAGCCTAGGGCCGATCTCGCGGCCCTATCTGCAGAAGCGGTTCAATATCTTCGGGATGACGAGGAGGAGGGAGAAGATGACGACTGCTTGTTGGTAGCTCGGAAAAGAGGAAGCACTGAGGCTTCGAGATCCGCCGAATCAGTGATGGCTGATGCAGTTCATTCTCGAACTGAAGAGATCTCAGAGGAAAGTTCGAGCAAAGTCCCCGAGCCATCGGGCAGCAAAAGTGCATCTCGTCCCGGAGGACATGTGGCTGGCGAGCCTGAGGAGCCTAGTTCTGAGGCCCTCTAAAGAGAAGACAATGTCCCATGCGAATCACTTGGGATAATTATAGATGAATCGCCGCCGGGCCTCGTGTTCTCCGAAGGGCAATTCCGAGATGCCCAGGCCATGAGGACTCCTGATGTGGGAACGATCCATGAAGGGAGTGATATTTTCCGAGAGTGCCTTGCAGGGGTCGAAGATGGTCCTGAACCTGATGCTTTATTTATCTTTGATGAAGCTCAGAGGCTTCTCAAACAAGTAAGTTTATGCCTTCATAATTACGCTCGAGTTTAATTCTTGTTTTTCCAAGTCTGACTCCTTTTCTTTGTGTGAAGGACATGGCGCTTCATCAACAAGCATTTTCCAAATCTCGAACCGAGCTTGCCCGATGCAAAGCCGAACTCAAGAAGTTTGTGGAAGAGAGGGACAACCTCAAACGCCTCTATGTACAGAAAGAGGAGGAGGTTAGGGATCTCCGAGTTGAATTGGCGAAGGCTCGTCAAGAACAGACTGAGCTCATCGAAAAGATAATGTAGCCTTTGGGGTTTTGTTATGTATTCATTTGCTTTAGCAATTAACACTTCAACTTTGAAGGCCCAGCAAAAGGGCGAGCTGGTGGAGCAGCTTCGAGAAGAGCTCAAGGTGAAAGAGGCCGAGACCCTGGGATGGAAGCAACACATGGACCGTCTTGCCTCGGAGAAAGATACACTTTGGGACCAGTTGACTTCGATCGAACGCCAGCTTCAAAATGCAAAGGGGGAAAGCTTGGCCCGGAGCCACAAGATCGAGGAGCTCGAAGCTAAATCTGCCGCTGAGCTTGCGAATGCCAAATCTGAGGCGGAAGCATTTGTGTCCTCGTATCGACCTGACGCCGAAGCTGCTAACATTCGGGCACAGGATATTTCCACTGCGGCTGAAGTCAAATTATCATGTGCTCTTGACCATGACAGGCAACAATCCCGGAGAGAAACTCTCGAGGAGGTGCACGCTTGTGGCTTCGACCTCTCAACTGATATTGAAAAGGCAAAAACTTTGGAGGGCAAGGCTGCCGCTTTACTCTCTGATGATGAAGATTCCGCTAGTGGCTCCGAGAGCGAAGGAGGCGAGGATGAAGTCCCGGAGGAGGAGGTTCCCGAAAATGCAGCTCTCAAAGATGTGGCTCCCGAGGACGTGGCTCCCAAAGTAGATTAGGCTCTTTTGTTTTTTGTTTTTGTGCAAGTCCCCCTGTGGGTACTGTAAATACCTTTTATGAATATAAGGAATTCTTTTTCTACCCATCTTCGATTTGTTTTGAATTCTGCTTCGTCTCCGTTTTGTGAAATTTTTTGATGTTTTAACTTCAATGATCGAGCGAGCACTGGCTCGGCCTCAGAGTGGAACAAACCCTTAGGTTTTTTTAACAATCTTTGAAATTATAATGGAATACCTCTTAAGGTTTTTAACGAATCCTCGAGCTATGCTTAAGTCAATTTGATGCGAGCTCGGGATGATGGGACCCTTAGGTCCGAGTTGAATGAGAACAAGGTCTCGAACTCTAAGTGTATAGACCTTTTAGGCTCACTAAACAGCCCTTAGGTTCTTTTATATTAGCCCTTAGGCTCTTCTTGGTCGGCCCTTAGGCTCTTTAAGTTGGGCCAATTCGGCCTTTAAAACGGCTATAATTTTTCCCTCTTTTCGGCTAAAAGACTTAGTGAAAATTTCATCATGCCTTAGTATGTGTTTTTCGTACCCGTTAGGTTTTTCGAGGGTTCAATCGATCAAAACCCAACTTTTAATCCGTTTGTGTTAGGATAGTTTAATGTCTCTTGAGGCCTTTTCGAAGGCTGATATTATCGAAGCCTTTAAATTATTCGAGGGCTGATTTTATAGAAGCCCCTTTTTACTTGCTTTCCCGAGGGTAGACTTATTTAACCGGTTTTTCAAAGTATTTGAAGGCCTTTAACTTATGGCGGAAATCGGACGTCTCCGAGCCGTATTATTTCGGCCGTAGTCTTTTTATATGACTGTAGTCTTTAATATGGCCGTAGCCTTTGGGTGTGTCTCTTGGACTTATTTACCGATAACCTTTCGAAGTTATCCGAAAGGTTAGTCCCCGAGTATGATGGCCTTGGCCTTTGCGTCGAGGGATGCCTCCTTGAGGTCTTATAAATTCGAATTTAGATATGACTGTCGATGACAGTTCCCGAGTATTCGAAGTATATTCGCGTTTTGGCCCTTGAGCCGTTTCTCGCAGAATCACAAGTAGGATGTTCGTATAGTAGCAAATTTCGTTGAG